TCTCGACAATATGCGTTTTTGCTGGCTGTAGTAGCTGCTATAGCGCTGCACAGCAAAAACGCATAAAAAAAAATATGCCTTTTGCAACTGGTCGTCTTTAAAAATTGCCAGCGTATCGTTAACACTAGTGGTATGGAATAAACGCTTCAAGGGAAAAATCACTCACAGTGTTCGATATCGCACGATGCAACACGGCCTTTCTTTGAGAAGTGAATTCGAATGAATTTGCCGAATCGAGAGGAATTATTGTTGCGCACCGTCTTCGCGTTACCGAATGCCTCAAGCACCGGATTTGTCTGCACAATTTGATCCTCCAGCGTTACCTTCTTCTTCCCGGGAGTGCTGACTTGTTCAACTCCTTCTGATTTGTCTGCGGCTTCTTGTTGTGATGCGCCCACTGATGCGAAGTAAGCAATGACCTAAAGAGCACACTTCTACCGAAATTTTTATTTATTAACAAAGAGGAGAAGCATCTTAACAAAAAGCATCTTATCAGTGAGAACCAGAACAGAAAAACAAAACTCGGATTTCCGACCAAACTTTAAATGACACGCTAAGACATCTGTGACACATTTCTACCACTTCTGGTAAGGATCAGTTTCCGCTAACACTCTCAAAAAATAAAATTTTGATTTAACTTCCCTTGCACTCCTCATCCTATGTATTTTCTTAAATAGGCCAAGAAAAATGAGTGCAGTAAATATAACCACCTTTTTGGTATTTTCGGTTTTTCCCGCGCCCGATTCACCAGTGATCAGCATTGACTGATTTTCATGATCGATCAGCATGTTCCGATATGCCTCATCAGAGACAGCGAATAGATGTGGCGGCATTTCCGTGCGCCGCTTCCCCATGTACATCTTCGCAACAGATTCCTCGTAGATTGGCAGGCGCTTATAGGGATTGATTACCACGCAGAACAGACCCGAATACGTCTGCAATATGGACAACTGGCATAGTTTGGCTTGAGGTCTAGCTCGGTGAGGATTTCTCATCAATGATTGGGGAATAGAACATGCGATAATTGGAGGCATAGTGTGCCCAAATAAACTTGTTTGAAGCTTTTCGGCTTCCACGAGCTTTTACCGAACTCTATACGCTTTTGAGAAGGAACTGAATATCTTAGGCAACAGTACTGACGCAGTATATAAGCCATTAACTTCGCTCTCCCTTTTTGTTTGATCAAAGTAGGCTTATTTTGCCCCTGCCCTCACAGTGAACCAACAGATAACTTACATAAATCAGCATCTTTCCGTACCGTGCTCGTAAATTATGCAAAACGGAAGCATCGTTCAAGAATGTCAAATTGGACATATCCTCTGTTTTTTCGAACTTTGGTGGATTCATCTCCTGGACCAGCTCCGCTTTGAGCGTTAGCTGAAATGGATAAGCCCGGATGAACATCACCCTCTTGCTGATGGATATTTAACCAATGACATTA